GTGTGTGTGTGTGTGTGTGCATTCAATATTGTTGGTCCCAGCTCTTCCTGTCATGGGCCCTGTGTTTTGAGCTTTCACTGGCTGCTGTTTCTTTTGTATCGTGAGAATGTTTTATGTTTAGGTTTTGTTATTCGTCTCTTTGGTGTATGAGGCTGTCAGCGTCGTTGCTATTTATTATTACTTTGCATGCAAGCCTGTTTGAATTTTGCTGAAATTATTGAAATCCTGTATTCAGGTGATCCCTGTTGGCTGAGTTTCCATATTCCTTTGCTTTTCTCTATCTTATGTTGTGTATAGGTTTTGTTTTATAGCCTGTTTATTGTAGTTTTGTTATAGAAATAGAGAAAAAAGTCTTGATATCATCCTCTTCTTCTTCTTAAAAAAAAATCAGAAAACATTTGTTTCATAGATTGAGAATAGTCTGACTCAGCTCTTTAACCCGTCAGCTCCATGGTCCGAAGTCCTTGTGACTGAGATCATGTAAGAAAAGTACCAGCGAACAATTTGCTGAATTCACAGCTAGTGAGTGGACGTCATGTTCTACCCATGCAGCTCTCTCGCCTAAACCACCAAGTATCGAGTATATCTAGTAGTATGAATGCATCATGTGAGAAAGGCCAGACTCTTCTAACACTGAGCTCATGTGCAGAAGCAAAATATTAGATTAGCTTCAAGACTGAAAACCAAAATGTCAGTTTCTCAGGCAGCGACTAAGTTCATTCATAAAAGATGGCAACGCTGATGTTTGCAAGTGGAGCCATTAGTGAAATTCCTGAGAACTGCACGTGGTAAGATAATATCCTTTGTAATTACATGGATACCTGGAAAGCCTTCTTACTGCTGCCTAAATAGGAAACATTTGAGGACATGAAGAGGAGGGAAAGCCGAGGCTGTCGATGGAGCCACCTTTAAAGATGAATGGTAAATGGTAAATGGACTAGTTCTTATATAGCGCTTTTCACTCTTCTGAGCACTCAAAGAATGCTGTTGTTGAGCGTCAACGAGGTCAGGCATCCCACCGAGGTCCCGCCAAGTGACACAGAAATGAGGTTTAAATGAAGCTCTGACGCATCGTTTCTCATTAGAGAAAGTATCTGTGTGTGTGTTTGAGTGTACTTGCGTCACTTGTGTGAGGGGTTAGCAGTTGGGATTCCAAGGGCTTTTGGTAAACTGACTGATGCTAATAGCTTCTCTAATAGCTTTAAAGCCGTGTACATGAGACATAGGTATCCAGTCGGGCTCAAGTGAACTCCAAAACTTTGCTCTATATCATTCTCATAGGCGCATATGCACTGAAACGCACACACACACTGGGTTGTTTTGAAACTTTAGCACCCGTCTACATCCCCAGTGAGCCCAAAGCGTCGTCCATCTGTGATGAAACCTTAGCGGGTCACATGCTGGTGTTGAAATACCCCCTGCTTGGTCCACTGGCCTGACTCTCATCATCCACATACACACATCATACCTCTCTGCTCCTCCAGGCCTCACTGTGGAGGCGTTGTCAGTCAGCGGGGAATCAGTGGCCGTTCCTCCCCAAACATCCAGGGCTTGTGTAGAATTACAGGCTGCAGTAGGAAGCGTCCCATCACCTAAATGTCACAGTTTCATGGTGTAACAGCTAAACCCGCTCCATCAACTCCTGAACCTTTTCTCACATTCTCGCCGAATGACGTGAAGGGCTTTATGCCCCTTGTGAATTAGGCAACTTAACTGTCATAGCCATATTGAGCAGCTTTGATGCAGCTGCTCAATATAGTCAGCATGTGTCAAAGGAGTTTTACCTACTTATCTTGCAGCTTATCTTCTGCAATTTAAT